TTGAACACCTCCACAAGGAAATTTTTCCTGATATCCAACCTAAAAGTCCCCTGGCACAACCTGACGTCATTTCATCTTGTCCTGTCACTTGTTACCTGGGAGAATCTTGTATCCCTGGAAATCAAACTGAATTCTTTCAGTGTCAGCAGTCCAGCTTCAAATGGTGAAGCAGCTCCTGAGATACCACCATGGTTCATGGGAGAACAGGCTAAAAACTGGCATTTTAAAGAAAAATAACCACAAAACTCCATAAATACTTCGGCTAAACCTCCTGTAACCCCGAGGAGAGGAACAAATTGCAATTCTTCTCTGGTTCAAAGGGTCCTGTTCAAAGCTCCTGATGCCATTCCCCAGACTGCCAAGATTCCCCAAAACCAGCCCTGACATCTCTTCTATTCCTTCACAAGATCTTCCCCTATATGTAGATGAGGTACTAATTTGCTCTCTCTGGACAGAAAAGAAAGTTCAAATAATTATTCATTTGTGATCACTCTCCAATTAATGGGGAGAGTGCAGAGATAACCCTCAGTGTCCTATTGACCAGGATTAGTAGAAAATACAGTGAAAACCAGGAGTGAACACCTGCATATAAATGACCCAGTGGTTTTAGAAAGAGAAAAATCTCCTTTACAAACCTGCAGCTGCCAAATGGCTCGTGGAAAAGGCTGATCCAAGTAATGGGCTCTGCAGCGATGACCAAGAGAATTTTTCCTGAAGTTCTTTATCAGAGAGAGGCTTTTGAGGAAACCAAGGAATGCTTGAACATGACGAAGGAAGGAACAAACTGCCCATCCTCACCATCCACTTCCACCTCTGCAGGGAGCTGGGAAGCTGCCACTGATCGAAAGAGGGATTGGAAAAATCATTTCTTGTTGTGAATGTCCACCCCTGGAAGTGTTCAAGGCCAGGTTGGACGGGGCTTGGAGCAACCTGGGATAGTGGAAGGTGTCCCTGCCCATGGCAGGGGGTGGAACTGGATTGGCTTAAATTCTCTTCCAAACCAAACCAGTCTGGGATTCAACGACCGTAAAACAAAGTCATTCCAGATGTGCATCGACATGTGGAGTGACTTCTCTGGCAGCATAAACTGTGCAAGTGAGGATTCTTCAGCCATTAAACAAGATGATAGATGAGGAACGTGACCAAAGTCACAAAGTTGGAGGTGCCTCATCTCCACGGAAGCAGAGAACCCAAGGGAGAGTTTTGTGGCATTTTTGCCCTTATTAAGAGCCACTTTCCACCTCCACTCCTTTCTCCAGACTGTTTGAAGGAGCACAGAAGCACAGTCCCACCACAGATGATCAGTCAGAGCTGTGCTCAAAATGCTCTTTGCCCACTGCTCCTAAGAAAATACTTAAAACTAAAAAAACTGCTGGGAAAATCAGGGATCTTACCACTTTTCCTGCTGGCTCTTTAGGGAATCACACATTGCACATACATAGAATTTTTTTTCTCTTTTATCACCAGCTCTTATTACTGATGGGGGCTCAGTGCCAGCTGGGCTAATAAATTAATACACATTGAGCAAAATAAGCAATGTCTGGAGTTTTTAGAAGCAGGGACATCCCCTCCCCCCTTACCTTCAGCCAGCCTTCATATAAAGAGAAAAAACAGTGGCTCAGTTTGCTGTGTGTCCATCAATTGCTGATGTTGAGCTGTTCCAAGATCAATTGGACAATCTTCATGCAAAAGCCTTCCTTGACAAGTTCCTAATTTACCCAACACTCACTTTTATCTTCTGCTGGCATGACAGGACCTTGTTTATTTGGCACAAGGGACTATTTTTCACAGGAAAATTGATGGACTTCTTTGCTTTTTTGTTTTTCCTCTTTTATTTTTCTTTGTCTTTTCCTTTTCCATAATTTATTCTTCAAAGAAAATGCTACTGGCAACTAAGAAATCTGCGTGAACTCTGTGACAAAGTCACACATACACCTCCTCAGCCACTCTGCAGAGTCCATAATAAATGAGGTGCTTCACTCAGACTGAACAGACAGTTTGGAAACTGTGCAGAAATAACTGAAAATGAAGTGATTTCTTTTTTGAATGCAACTAAGTCTGGCTCTACTGATATTGTAGTAATATTACTCTCTGAATTTTCTTACTCTATGTAAGTTCTTATTCATAACACTCCTGACTTAGTTGATATTAGCTCAGAAAACTTAAACATCTGCCTAATTAGGTTTGGCTTCAGCTCTGCTGTGAGTTTACCTGTTTCTAGGGAAAATACTCAATTATTTTGCACAGAAGTGAATGAGACAAAGAACAAGGCTGTGAACTCATCAGCCTGGGAGCACATTTTTAGCAGCCACATATCTGTGAAGTGACAGACATTAAATAACATTTCACATTTCATCCTCCTGTGTGTGTGTGTGTGTGTGTGTGTGTTGTGTGTGTGTGTGTGTGTGTGTGTGTGTGTGTATGTGTGGAGGGGGATGTTAGATCTTTAGGGCTGGTGGATTTGGGGAGTCTGTTATAATTCATGTGTCTTATGGTGTATCACTGACTCCACCTGGGCTGTTGTTATAATCTGTCTCTTCTCCCATTTACCTTCTCTAAACAAGACAATCATTCCTCACAACCCCAAAGGAAGGTATTTCTAGGGTTTATCTAAGCCAACATTAGCTCAAGATGACCATTAACTGGTGAGCCATCTGCTGAACTTCAGCAACCTCCAAGTTCATGGGTTGATGGATATCATGGTATCAGCATCTCTGTGTGCTTTAATAGCCATTGATGAGCTAATCCTCCAGAACTTCTATTAATTACCTCTTTACTCTTCCACTTCAGACATCCTTTAGTAGTTCTACAAGTTAATTAAAAACTCAAATTACTTTTCTTTTGGGAGGTGATGGGTTGGTTCTTGTCTTCTGTTTTTTCCTCAGGAATTTCACTGTCCAAAGGGCGGTATTCCTGTAAGGTTCCTGCTTTTAAGGTTTCTGAGAGACAGAAATTGCCATTCCCAACACACCTTCTTGCATCCAGTTTTGGGGGCCAACAGCAGAAGGACGCCGAGCTGTTGGAGCAAGTCCAGAGGAGGCCACAGAGGTGCTCTGAGGGCTGGAGCCCCTCTGCTCTGGAGCCAGGCTGGGAGAGCTGGGGGTATTCATCTGGAGAAGGGAAGGCTCCAGGGAGACCTTAGAGCCCCTTCCAGACAAACTCCAGCCATAAATACCTGAAGTTCATTTTCTTCTCTGTGCAACATTTCACCACTGACTTTTTGTTTCCTCTGACCAGAGCAAACTCCAGTTGCAATTCTCTGTGGGAACCAGCCAGATTATTTCAGAGCTGCCTCTGAATATGATGTCTGTATATGCAAATGTTTAAGTGTCCAGAATCTGCCAGTTCCACAAATCAAACACAAAGGAACACCAGAAAAACAGAAAACAAGAGCAACAAATGCTCTCTCCAATAACTTGTGCAGTTTTCAGAGGGTTTCCAAGACTCAGGTTGTCTTATGAGCATTCAGAGAATTCCTGGTATTTACCATAATATCTCAGACTGGTATTTTATTTCACCCAATTTCCTGTCTGTAACTTGGCAGAAGGTGCAAGAAAGCCTTCACTAAACTGTCCTTAAAGAATCTAGGCACAGAGATGTCCATCTATTTTTTCCTCAGGAATTTCACTGTCCTAAGGATGGTAATTCCTGTAAGGTACAAACCAAGAGTTTGTACCTATTTACAATAATTACTATGAACCCTCTTACATACAAGGATGGTTTTACATGACAGACCCACATGCTGTCAGCTCATATAAATGATTTCAGCATGAATTGGATTCTATAAAATTCATGACAGAATCACAGAGTGGTTTGGGACTCCAGTTCCTAGAATTCAAATCTCATTTTCTGTGGATATTTTATCACAGCAAGGACCAGCAAAACAATGCAATTTGGTCCAAAGCCTGGGAGTGCAGAATGGAAAACACAATAGCATCTGATTTATTCACACAGTCTTAGAAATGTTTTTCACTACAGCCTTGGCAGACAAACTGAGAGATCAACCCAAGATCTCCAGCAGAGCTGTAGAAATAATTGATTTTTCAGTTCAGTAGCCAAATTGGAAAAGTAAATAGTTTGAAATTACCTACAATGTTTTTTTGTTGTTTTTCTCATTGAAGTGAAACACAGGCTGAGGAGAAGCTGCTCCTCCTTCCCTCAGCAGCCAGGCCAGAGGGTTTTCCAACCAACACGTTGGTGACCAGGATTGAACACCTTGAGTCTTCAGTCCCTCTAAAAGAAGGGCTGTTATCATCCCCTGGCATTTGGAAGGAGGTTGGTCTTGTTCTCTCTCTGCTTCTTTCCATAGGTTTCATCACCTGTGAGAAGACAGAATAAAGTGTCCTCCCAAATCCCAGGTGACTGAATTATTCCTGTCACTCAATGCTTTGTGCCAAGTGATTCATGGCAGGTAGGAGAACTGCTGACTGCAGATCACCACACATACAAGGCCTAGGATTCCCCTGGGAGTGCAGGAAGATTTCCAAAACCCTGTGTGCTGAACCTCTCTTTCCCAAATAACCCATGGGTTCCTCTTCTGTGGAGCCGAGGCCAGCAATGGATCCCTTCAAAAAGGGTAAGAACAGGGAAAACACCTCCTTGTGTCTCTCTCCAATACTCTCCCAAACTCCAGCAATGACCAAACACAATTATAGCTTATTTAGTAGCCTTGGATGGATAATTTCCCAGTGTCCTTACCCAGTTATTAACCGTCAGCTCAGAGGGCATCCTTCTCTTTTGAACTTCCCTTCCCATCCTTACCTTCTGAACTTGGAGTTCAGGCACTGGGAAAAAAACAAATCAAACAAACCAAACTCCACAGAACAAAACACCCAAAACAAACATCACAAAGAAAACCCCAACAAAACTGAACAAAAATTAAAATTGACCAAGATTTCTGATTAATTTCAGGAAAACAACGACTCCGTTTTCCAGGTTTTGGATGGAAGAGCAGCCAACACAGAGGAGTTTAAATTGTACCTGTGCAGGCTGAGCTGCACCATAGAATCATGGAATTTTTAAGGTTGGAAAAGCCCTCCCAGCCCATCAAGTCCAACCTGTACCCGATCCCCACCTCATCACCCAGCCCAGAGCACCCAGTCGTTCCTTGGACACCTCCGGGGATGGGGACTCCTCCAGAAGGGAATTCTGCACAGACTGCAGTCCTGGCACTTGTGTGAGCTTCAGCTTCCCAGGAACAACTCCAGAGCTTGGCACCAACACAGAGCAAATGCATTTTATAGGCAGGGATTCTGGAAAAAACAGCAGGAAGGAGCTGTTAACAGGGAATGTTTTTTTTCTGCTCAGTCAGTCAGACAGGGAGCTGAAGTGAGGGCTCTCAGTTGAATCCACTCACAACATTTAACTGCAAATAGTAAATTATTACTAAAAACTACTGAAAAAATTATCTCTGTTTCAAATCAGAAATGAAAAATATATCAGTTCTTCTTTCTATTTATAAAGAAAGATAATAATAACCTTACAAAGATAATAAGAAAGGCTTTACAAAATGCTTGGATGTGCTCATTTGAGTATTTCTTCAAACTAATCAAGTTCAAAATCCCAAGTTTCCTTTTATAAACAAGGCCATAAAATGCCTTAAAAATCTCCCAGGAAATTCATGGAAATTTATTCAGTCTGGGACGAGAGAGTAAATCTCTCTTATGCTTATGGATCCTTCCCAAATACATGCACATGTTAATTAATCCCATTAATTTTACAGGATTGCTTGCTTGTTTGTTCCTGGATTGTTGCTCCAAAGAAAGCAGCTTCCTGCAATGGAAATTAAACTTCAAAGGAAGTTTTTTTACCAAACAACACTAAAACCAACACTGAGAAACACAAAATATTTCTTGCTGCTTGGAAAGCTCATTTTATTTTTCTCATCTACATAATAGTATGCAGGATATTAAATAACTATCAATTTTATTATGGGTCTACTGAGGGAGCTACACTTGTGTTTGAGGTTGACGTGACAATCAGATAAGCGTCTTATAACTTGGGATTACTATTTTTTCCAGCTGGAAGTTGTATACGAAGTCTAAAATTGTAGGCTCCAAAAATAAAAAAAAAATTCTTTCTGTGTCATACTCAGGAGGAAAAAAAATAATCGGTATGAATTCCTTAATTTTTCTTATAAACGATTTTATTTATAAGGTGATGATCAATTAAAAGTAGGACTTTTCCAGCCTAAATGATTCTGGGATTACTTACTTGAAAAGCTGAGTTTAGGCTCAAGATTTGTTAGTCCTTAACATTAATCACTTTTTGTATCTGTAAGCATCCACCGTCCTCTGGGCCTTACAAAAACATGTTCAGCTCCAAACCAAAAACAGTTTCCAACATGGACAATCCCTAAAACAGAGTCATCAGCTGGAAATCCATGTGTTTCCTCACGCTCCCTGACATTTCAAAGGATCCTGACCAAAGGCAAAGCAAATTTTAGAAAGTAATATATGAGATTATAGGAGGAATTTACATCTGTTGCTGTACCTTGCAGGTCAAGTTTCTAAATCTCTGGTCATATCCTGACCTGGTCTCATTCCTTGCAGCAATTCTGCTACCTTTGACATTAAATTTTATCTCAATCTTTATCAACACTCAAAAATTCAAGACCAGTTAAAACATCCTCAAGGAAAAAGGGATGTTTAGTTCCACAATTTCTCCTCATTTTTCATTGCCTGTCAACTTTCCCGGCCTCAGTTCACTCGTTACTCCTCATTTCCATTTCCTTCAGAAGCAAATAATCCAGAAGTTTTGGACAATTAAATAATTAATTGTGATTCATAAACATGTTTTCACAGGTTCCACCCCCCTGCCACAGGCAGGGACACCTTCCATAGACCAGGTTGCTCCAAACCCTGTCTGACTTGGCCTTGAAGAGTTCCAAGGATGGGGTGTCCAAAATTTTCCTTGGATTTCTCTCTATTTCCACAAAACTCCATTCAAAACCCATCACCCATCACAGTTTAGTGAGCCAGACTTTAAAATCTTGGTGGTGTTTAAATTATTGACAGCACAGGAAAAAAACCCAAACAACTTATTTCAGTGTAGGGATTTAAATTGTCAAAAGAATTCCTTGTGTCTTCATAAAGGTAACATAAATCACAGCAAGAGCCATTATACATCCAAAACAACTCATTCTCCAGGTTGTCTTTTTCCAGGCTGCCTCCAGAACCTGTCTATGACTATAAGAAGAAAATCACAATATACAATCTGTTATGAAACCAAGTGTCATTTAAAACCACTATAATTTGATATTTGCTTTAAAAAAAAAAAAAAGTTAACAAGAAAACCGTGCAAATGTTTTGCTTTTGTTTTGTTCCTGATAAATATGCTGGAAGTGTCTGACAAATTCCAATAATGAGCTAAAATCTCCAGGTGTAATGAAAGGGAAACTTGTTTGAGACTGTGGGGAAGTGGCAGCATCTCAGAGCAGGGAAAACGGAAGAATGGAGGTGGGAGAAGCAGCAAGGCTGTCACTGTCACCTGGAATTAGGGGCTGCAAGTCACTGAGTGTGTTTTCCTCTGAATCCGAGAGTATATAATGAGTTTTTGTTGGAAAAAAAAATTATCAGGAATGGTTTAAGTCTCAGACTTGTGAAGTTTATGCCCTGTCAGGCAATGGCATCGCTCCACGGGAACCAGATCAGAGAGTCACAGAATGGTTTGTGTTGGAAGGGACCCTAAAGCACATCCAGTTCAACCCCTGCCATCAACAGGGACACCTTCCACTAGCCCAGGTTGCTCCAAGCCTCATCCAATCTGACCTTGGACACTTCCAGAGATGGGACAGCCACAGCTTCTCTGGGCAACCTGTGCCAGGGCCTCTCCACCCTCCCAGCCAAGAATTCCTTCCCAATATCCCATTTAACCCTGCCCTCTGGCACTGGGAAGCCATTCCCCTTGTCCTGTCACTATCCCCCATACTATCTAATGGCAGGTGTCCCTACCCATGGCAGGGAGTTGGAACTGGATGTTCATTAATGTCCTTCCCAACCCAAACCAGTCCATGATTCTCTGATCTCAACCTCTCTACCTTGAGCCGTTTTAATCCCAGACTTTCAATCTTTCATCCTTTTGCTGCATGATACATTACGGAGAGAGCTCTTCCATCACCAGACATTTAAAGCCACGGAAGGCAGGAGCTTTGGGCCTGATCCTTCCAGAAAACAGCTCCAGCCTTCCCCACGCTCCATGCCCCGGCACACAGAGTTTTTAGCCAAGTCCCTGTAAACGAGACATTTCAACAAAAACTTTTTATGGTCAATAATTTTGCCTGGTCTGGCTCCCCGGGCTGCTGTGGGCTGCCAAATCCCATGGCAGATGTTCCCAGCAGCTGTGGAATCATCAGACCCTTGTCTTGGCACCCCCAAGTCCCAAGAGGTTGTGGCTGGGGTGGAAGGGTGCCCAGAGGGCTTCCCACACCTCCAAATTCCACAAGGAGATGTTCCAGGGCTTCATCTGCTCCATGCCTGTGCAGAGGAGCACTGAAGAACCCTGCTCTGAATCCTGCATAAATCATAAATCCATGCTCATTAATAGGGATGAAATTGCACAACATGGGATGGACCCTGAGCCTTGGGAGAGGGGTTACACTTTCCACTGAATCTTAGGAAACACAGGATTTGTGCCATGGATATGGAAGCAAGCAAGAGAGATCCAGGAAATTATTGCCAGACATGAATTAAATGCCTGTTTGATACAGTTGGAGAGTCTGAAATCACTTAAATCCCAGCTCTGAGTGCCCAAGCCAGGCTTGCCTTAAACTAGGGGAGCTGCCTTTGGTGCTGTGAGGGGAAAAGGAACCATAAAACAAAGCTGAGCCAACACTGAAGGAGAAATTAATTGACGAGCCTGAAGAGACAGAAGAAGGGAGCCTGGTTGCATAGCTGTGTTGTCTGGGAAGGGCATGGGGAATGTTCCCTCAAGGTGGGTGGGAGGCTGATACCCACCATGGACCCCAACACTGAACCCACATCTTTCCATGGGTACTTGCAACTAACAGAGCATGAGCAGATATTTTTGTATGTTATCATAGAATATCCTGAGTTGGAAGGGACCCATCAGGATCATTGTATAATACCTTCAAATATAATTTAAAATTAAAAGAAAATTAGTGCCAACTGAGAGCAAACCCAAGTTTCAAAGCCTAGAAGGTTTCCATGACACAGCCCCTTTTCGGTCTCCTTCCTTCCTGGGTGCAGAGGAAGAGCAACCCAGTGTAGGTTCAGGATTGATCCACACAGGAGCTGGACTCCATGATCCATGTGAGTCCCTTCCAACTCATAATGTTTTATGAGTAGTCTCATTTTCAGCAGAAAATCACTTTTTCTCTCAATCTGCACAAAGACAAAGGAAACAACAAAGTTAAAATGAAACTCTCAGAATCATAAAATATCCGGAGTTGGAAGGGACCCCCAAGGATCATCAAAGGATCCTGGACCTGCACAGAACAACGCCAAGAATCCCACCATGTTCCTGACAGTGACATCCAAACTCAACACAGTCTTTTCCATGATGAATTAATAAAACGTTTGGAAGACAAAATCTCAATCCTACCCAATTTCAGTACTTGGAGTCTTTGTCTCCCTTTCCAAGTCCAGGCCTTGGAAATTATGTGAAACTCCCAATTCCTACTTCCAGCCTCACTCTAAACCCTCAAAACAACTGCTACTCTCCATTTCCAGTTCTTCACCCAAGGCTCCTAAAACATCATATGGGGAATTTGGGAGCCCCATTTGAAACAAATTGTTTTAATTAAAATAGTAATTTCCAGCCCCGAGAGATGTAAACTATTAAAGAGCTGCCAGCAGGGAGATCCACTAATGGAGAGCAGTGAGCAATTACAGCCAATCTGCCGCAGGTTTGCTGGAAAAAACCAGGCTGGAATACCAGAGCAGCCCTTGCCAAGGGGTTATTTATCACCTCAGACAGCGTTAACCAGGCACAGGTTTCTCCTCCCATAAAGGCTCAGCGAGGGCACTTCATTTTCTCCTGTGTCATCGAGTCATTGTGATATAAGAGGAGAGATCAGCGACGGGAAATGGAGGGAACAAATCTCCTCTCCATTAAAAGGCCCTTCAGCCCCTGAAACTGTGTGTGCAGAGAACAAGGGGGGGGGGGGCTGATGAAAATGTTTTCTCTTGTGAAAGGGAACTCTCTGTCTCAGACAACTCAACTCCTTTTCTCCTACACACCCAGTATTTCAGGAATATTCATTTGAGGGGTACCACAATTCAGGAATATCTGGAAGCACCAACCAAGTTCATGGGTTCTTTTTCCTATGAAAGTGGATGGTATCCAACCCAAAGTTAAATTCTTGGGGGTTTCCCTGGAAAGGCAAATGTGAGGCAAAGGAAGAAAGGAAGAGGGTTTTTTTTTATTATTAAATGTTATGGGTTTTTTCCCAAATTGGAGATGGAAGGAAAACAAGAATGACCACCACCAACAAAGAAACACCAAAACCCACCAAAACCCAAGAACCACCAACAATAACAGCTTAAACAATTTATCCAAGAGCCACCTATTTTTTCCAAAATTAACCTTCACTGGTTTTGTTTCTTATTCTGGACTATACACAAATTCACTGCAAGGACAAACTTTGGAAAACAAAACTGACTTATTGCTCCAAAAGTCTACATTTCTAATCAAAACTTCTTTCACCTTTCAGGGCTGAATCTATGTCAGAAATGTAGCCTGAAGAAATTTTACCTCTATTCCAACCTATGGAATGTTTCCTATTGCAAAGACATGTTGGTTTGGGTTTAGAGTTTCAGACATCCTGCTGTCTCAGGTGTCACAGAGCCAATGCCTAAAGGGAATATGCTTAGCTGGAAATCAACCAGCGATTGGCATCTAAAAATAAATATATTTGCATTTTTCTATCTGATCTGGAAATTTATTTCCAGAAGTATAAAATCATAGAATCTCAGACAGGTTTGCGTGGAAGGGACCTCCAAGACCATCCAGTTCCACCCCCTGCCATGGGCAGGGACACCTTCCACTAGACCAGGTTGCTCCAAGCCCCATCCAACCTGACCTGGAACACTTCCAGGGATGGGGCAGCCCAGCTTCTCAGGGCCTCACCACCCTCACAGGGAAGAATTTCTTCCCAATACCCCTTCTAAATCTACCCTTTTTTAATTTGAAGCCATATTTCAGCATTTCATGGACTTATCATATTTAACACATTAGAAGAAAAGTATCCTCCTCTGGAGGCCAAGAGGTCAAGTTTTCACTTCTATGTGTCATCATCTCTTCGGATATAATACAGGATTACCTATTTTAGGGAAAAAAGGAACCATTAAAAGTCATTTTTGCTATGTGGATTGCTACTGTGGAGAACAACTCAGTTGAAGAGTGAAAAGGGAAACATGGGAGCAAACTTCCTGGGGGGGAAAAATAGGAAAAAAATTAAAACTTTTTCAAAATAAAATCTCCATCTATTTTCAATAAATAATATTCAGTTTTCCCTTGGGTTTCTGTTCAGGAACCACAGGCATCTGCCTCTGCCACCCACAGCCCCAGCAGAGACACAATTCCTCCAAGGAATTCACGTTAGAGCCATGACCTGCTGGAGACACACGGGGATGAAAAGTGGGATTCTTTTATATAATTCCCTTCTTGCTTGATTCAAACCTCATTAAATCAAGAGCAATATTAACCATCCATTTCAGAGGGTGTTGTGCGAGGCCCTTTTCTCAGCAATGAGGCTGGAATTGTTTATTAATCCCATTATTTATTAATCCCACTGTCACCTGACTCTTCAGGTGATGAACACCAGACAACACCATATTTCACTTGTGGCTACACTGTAATAATTAAATAATATTAAGGAGAATTACCAGGGATGGAATTACCAGCAAATCAAGACTCTTAAATTCCACTGAAGGATGTTTAAGCAGACATTCCACAAGGGCAAACAGATAAATTAAGGTTCCCCTCAGCAATCTCTGTGACAATGGGAGAATACTAAACAGGGAGCATGAGGGACGTGTTGTAGCAAAATGTTTTGCCTTATTTTTAATTTAAATGTAGTTATAGGGATGAAGAGCCTTGAGGCATCAACCATTGCCAATCAAAGCTTACATGATTAAGTCTTCTAAGTGTAGTGAAATCACCACTGCCCAGGATTGCTCGAGTCATCAGAGGATGAATTTTTTCAGTACAAAGTCTTTTTTTTCTTACCTTTTTTTTTTTTTTTAAGTATTTTCAAAAAACATGATTTCTCTTTGGCAAAGGAACCCTTTGAAGGAGGCCCAAATAGCCTTTGAAGTGAAAATAGGGAAGTCATTTCATATTCAGACACCCATTTTACCTCCCCCTTCCTAAAAACGAAGGCGTCCAACTCAGTGAAAAATTTATCTAATGAAATAGGCCGACTGGGCTCGTGACATCAGAAGCTTTCAAGGCAACAAAATGGCCCTAAAATGGAAGTGGAGATGTCTTTGGGTGTAAATCAAAGACACTGAATCCAAATACTTGGTAATTATTTCAGATTAAGAGCTACAAAGTCAAAATTCTGCAATGTATGAAGTGCGTTAATGGGCTGGTAAATATGTTGTTGTTTTGAGCTGTTGGCCCAAAAGATTTATTAAAACTCAGTTTAAATCTTCCTTTTCTAAGTCACAAAGGCCATTAAGAGCTCTTGGAAGTGGTAGATGCCACACAGTCCATTAGCAGCTGGATCTTAATGCTCTTCTCTTCCTCCTTCCATCCTCAGAAATGTATTTCTCTCCTTTAATATTTCCTCAGAGCCTCCTATGTCACAGGTTTTCCCATGCACGTCTTTCCTCTGCCTCAGAAAGAATGAGAGTGGCTGATGTTACTCAGAAACCAGAAGTTTTAAGATAGCTCTCAGTGGAATGATGAAAAATCCCACAGGTTCCAGAAAGCAATTGGTAAATACAGGCTTCTACTTCCATAAAATGCAATTTATTAAATACAAATGTGTACCAATGGGAAGTGTTTTACTTCTGCAAATTCAAGGCTGCTCGAAGCACACTCTGAAGTCAATAACCCAGCAGTAAAAGCAGCAGCACACAAATATATGTCTCCTCCTATTCCACAAGCCACCATTTTCTTCTACACAAGATTCCCATCAAAAAAACAGCTTCAAATTTTTACCTGAGCTTTCTATTTGAAGAAATTGTGATCTGGTTCGTTATTTTTAATTTTTTTTTTTTAATAATTCCTCTCCACTTTAATCCCTTTTCATGTATATTGGATGTTTAGGAAGATGGAAATAATCTTATTGAATAAAAAGGGCAAATAAATCATGTAACAGGAAAGCTCATAAATCTGTATTTATATTGGATGTAAAAGTAAACTCACCAAAGGTAATTTACTGACTCTAATAATGAATGTGACTATTAGGCCCTTAGATTTTATTAGTGTGGTGAAAGAACTTATTTTATGTTCAAATATTTAAATACTCACTGATAGCAAATGTAAAAATATTGCAAATATTAAACACTCAATTACCTCAAGTTATGTAAAAATTCATTGAAAAATAACTTCCTGCCTGCAGAATCATATATTGCAAAAATCTGAAGTTCCTGATTTCCAGGGAATCCAGTGAATTTGATGGATTTATTTGGAGACTAAATGAGGAAATATTTGCATTTCTCACAGGAACAGGCAGGAAGCAGTTGGATTTTGGAGTGCTGACCACAGGGCAGCTCTGGGGCTTCCTAAGGAATCATGGAATCATTAAGGCTGGGAAAGACCTCATCAAGTCCAACCAGCACTGCCAAGGCCACCACTAACCCATGTCCCCAAGTGCCACATCCACACGGCTTTTAAACCCCTCTGGGGATGGGGACTCCACCCCTGACCTGGGCATCTGTGCCAGGGCTTAACCACTCTTCCAGTGGGAAAATTCTTCCTAATATTCAACATGAACATCCCAAGGAGCACCTTGACCAAAGCCTTCCTAAAATGAATAGAAACTGAGACTTGCTGGTGCCTTGGGGTAATGCTGGGGAGAGGCAAGCTGAAGAGTTCTTGCCTCACTCAATAATCATGGGTTTGCTCTTTAATGGTGGATACCAGGATGAGAAGGACATGGAACTGTTGGAGCAAGTCCAGAGGAGGCCACAAAGTTGATAAGAGGACTGGAGCACCTGCCCTATGGACACAGGCTGGGAGAGCTGGGAGTGTTTAGTCTTGAGAAAAGAAGGTTGAGTGGAAACCTCACAAGCACCTTCCAGTGTCTGAAGGAGTTATAGGGAAGCAGGATAGGGATGTTCATCAGGAACTGCAGTGATGGGACAAGGAGTATGGGTACAAACAGAAAGAGGGAAAAATTAGACTGGATATTGGGAAGGAATTCTTGGCTGTGAGGATGGGGAGGCCCTGGCCCAGGTTGCCCAGAGAAGCTGTGGCTGCCCCATCCCTAGAAGTGTCCAAGGCCAGGTTGGATGGGGCTTGGAGAAACTTGGGCTAGTGGAAGGTGTCCCTGCCCGTGGCAGGGAATGGGACTGGATGGACTTTAAGGTCCCTTCCAACCCAAACCATTCCATGATGGTAGAAGATGAAGGTGAACCACAGACACCATGAGCTGCTCCAGCAAGGGCATTAAAAATAAAATGAACAAAAACATCCCTAAATGTTCCTACAGCCATAAGATGCAAGTTCAGACAAGATTCTGAAAAATTAAGCAGAAAACCCTACAAATGTCCTCATTTCACATCTCCCATGATCAGACCACACAACTAACAAGACACAAAAGACCTGTTTTTCCTCTGGTTGCAGAGCTCTGGTGATTTTGAGCCATTTGAGTTTAGCTCAATCCAAAAATAACATTAATGACAATAAAACTTTATCTCTTCACTCTCAGCACAGGAGGATGGGAGAGAATTCATGTTGGTTTTATGTTATTTGAGTTGATCACTCTCTGCCTACTTACCTTAAACAGCCAGCTGTGCTGCTGCTTTATTTTTCAGAGCTTCCATAAAGAAAATGCTGCAATTTTGTAAATTATAGTCCTGCAATCGATAGCTCTATTTTCAATGTGCTTAAATCAAATCAAATACTTACCTCAACAGCAAACCAGGCAAAAACCTGAAGGGACAAAATTCAGAGGGAAACATTAGCTATGATTTAACTTGATTGCAAAATGCACTTCCCAAAAGATGATACAAGGGTACAACAGGTTTTTTGCAAGCCTCCCCAAGGAGTTATTATTTAAATCAATCAATTCACCAGCTTCACCAACTGAGAGTGGAGATTTCCATATCCAGAACACCTGAGAGCTCCCATCATTTCCCCAAATTTCAGGATATCACAGAATGGTTTGGGTTGGGAGGGACCTTAAAGATCACTCAGTCCCAATGCCCGCCATGGGCAAGGGCACCTCCTACTACCCCACGTTGCTCCAAACCCTGTCCAATCTGGCCCTGAACATGTCCAATAATATTAAGCTTTGAAATATGACTTTAGAAGTGTAAAAGTAACTCCCACCAAATTTCACAATTAGTGGGGGGTGTGATAGGCTCCTCCTCAGCCTGTTACTCTACTTAAAATGCTGCTTGGTCATAGACATGTAGCTTGGAGTATCTGAAATAAAGCTTAGATTTTATGTTCACCTTCCTATGAAGTGACACGAGAAACTTAACTCAGATTAATGCCTGTTTATACATTTTAATTATATATTAAAGTGTGTTTTGTGGCTACATCAGAAGCATCAGTGGCATATTAACTTACATTAGCTTTAACAAAAAAAAAAAACCACCAACATTGGCACATTGGCAATTATTCTGCAATTATATGCAAATTGCCTTCCCCACTAATTGCTCTGACAGGTGACTAATAGCTCCTCTAAAAGGGGGGGAGGTTTTACCCAGGGGTTTCCTCAATTATTTTGCTTGACCACCTTTCCTTCCAGCACTGAAACATAAAGCAGAAATGCTCAGTTTATGCTCTGCTGGGGATTTTTCCCAACCAAAATCGATGTGCTCCTTCCCCAGCTCCTGTGTCTGTGCATCCCCCAGCTCAGGTACACTCACCAGGGAACAGCTTCTGCCTCTGGTAGAGCTCCTGAGTCTCTAAGAGTTGTTCCAGATTTGCTCCTGAAGCATCTGTGGTCAAACTTCAGCAGGTTTTTAAGCAAATGTGGGCTGAGGAGGGAACCTCAATGTGCCTCAGTGATCTCAGAGTTCTTTTCCAACCTTAATGATTTCATGATTCCATGACTAGAATGCCCCACAGCCCTCACAGGGACTGTATGAGCAGAGCAAACTCTTGATAAAACCTCCACACCTACTTCAGGTGCAAATGATCTCAGTTCAAGTGCAGATAAATAATCATCTCTTTGTGTTTGGGTTGTAAATCTCCTTTAATTTGAAGACTCTCTCTACTGTGCCATGAGGAGAAGGAACAGTCTGGTATCTGTGAGGGGTCCTAGACACTGACTGGTGAGTATTGGAGACAACTCTCTGTAGAAATGATGACACCAGTGGAAAATGCTGCTCATTCAGCTGACAAATGTATATGAAATATAATCTTGCCCCACCGACAGGTTTACCAAAGGTGGGCCTAGGACGGGACAAACTCATTTCATTGAATCATAGAGTTGTTAAGGTTGGAAGAGACCTTCAAGATCAGCAAGTCCAACTGTCTTCCACTACCATGTTCACCACTAAACCATGTCCCCAAGTGCCACATTCACATGTTTTTAGAACACTTCCAGATATGGCCACTCCACCACTGCCCTGGGCAGCCTGTTCCAACCTCATTTCACATCCCACCAGCCATCTCCACAACCTCCTCGGGGAGGATGGGGACACACTGGAGGTTTGGCTCTTCGGGCTGCAGCAAAACCATTTCTCCTGTCTGAGGACAGAGTGTGACCCGACAGGACCAGGTGCCTGTGGTTTCCATTCTGGGGGAGAGAGAGCCTAAGGAAAAGTTGCTGCAAACCAGGAACAAACTACAGGAAAGGCACTGACCACTGTGGATCTAAAGCTCCTCACTGTTACTGTTCAGAGCAAACCTTTATACAGAATCACTGAGGTTGGAAAAGACCCCCAAGATTGAGTCCAACCTCTGACTGATCCTCACCTTGTCACCCAGCCCAGAGCACTGAGTTCAGGATGTGTTACAATTCTGTGATTCTCTGCTGTCCTTCCCAGAGCCCCCTCCCCTGAGTACTTCCCTACAACCCCCCACAAACAGGAATTTGATGTACGCACTGTAATACAACCCCATATGTTCCACACAGTCTCACTGTGAAAATGCTTCCCAGGCTTGTTTGCAAACACTCAAATGCTGCAAAACAAATGCCACCTCCTGCATGCAAATGAGAGCATTGCCTGGGAGATGGTGACCTTTGTTTTCCACACAGACCCCCCAGCTGGTGCCAGGATTATCTATACATCCCAAGGTGTGTTTCATCTGAAATGCAAAGCGTTCCTTTACTGCATCTCTGCTTGGCTGGGAATCAAAGGAGTTTGTTTCCCTGTCCCTGAGAGCTCTTTGCTTGACTTTCACATCTTTAGAGGTGATTTGCAACTTCTTCATTCACAGTATGGAGAGAGAAACACAAATTCTGTGCTGCAAATGGCAGTCACTGTCCTCAACAGTTGCTGCGTCATGGAATCATGGAATGGTTTGGGTTGGAAGGGACCTCAAAGCCCATCCAGCCAAGGGCAGGGACACCTTCCACTAGACCAGGTTGCTCCAAGCCCCATCCAACCTGGCCTTGGGCACTTCCAGGGATCCAGGGGCAACCCCAAATTCTCTGGGCAACCTGTGCCAGGGCCTCACCACTCTCATAGGAAACAATTTATTCCCAATAACCCATTTTGCCCTGCCCTCTGGCAGTGGGAAGCCATTCCCCCTTATCCTGTCACTCCAGGCCCTTGTAAATAGTCTGTTTCCATCTTTCCTGTTGGCTCCTTCAGGTCCTGGAAGGCTATAATCAGGTCACCCCAAAGCTTCTCTTCTCCAGGCTGAACAATCCCAATTCTCCCAGCCTTTCCTCATGGCAGAGGAACTCCATCCCTCTAATCAACTTAACATGTTGGAAGCAAAATAAATCCAAAGCATTAATGAGGAAATCAGGTGATTTGAAATAATCAGGTGCAGGACATTCAGATTTCACATGAAGAGCAGCAGAATTGTAGGAACATCACAGAGTAAATAGCACAGTGAAGGATCATTACAGGAGAAATAATTTAATGCTACATTACAGTACATCTAATTTGACTACTGTAAATCTCCTTCTGTGTCTCCTTTTAGCTATTTAATGAAAAACAAGCAAAAACAGTTTTTGTTAAATCTAAAGTTTTCTAGAACAGTATCCAAGTGGCCTTGAGCTGATACCTCATAAGAACAGAAAACACAAACAGTGTTACTTTGCCTGGGTACCTTCTTATTTTTAAATGTTAATGGTATCACTTTTCCTAAGCCCATTTTCTGAACCATTTGTAGTTTTTGCACTGTGCAATGGTTACAGTTCCCCCAATTTAAATCTGAACTGCATGAAAAAAAACACTGTCTTTTGTTGTTAAGCCTTAATTCTACCAAATTGTTAAATTACCCCACTTTATGCACAAAATATCCATCATGTTCCATGTCAAATCAAGCATTACCACAGCACATTATGCTTCTGTACACAACAGCAGAAGTGTTTATCCTGAGCAGCAACCAATCCATTACCTGATTTTTTCCCCTGTACAGTTTGTCAAGTCCCTCAAATTAAGTTTTACATAAAATGTGCAATTTCTGCACAGCAAACCAAACAACTTGGCTGAAACATGGGTTTAATTAGAGCACTGCAGCATCTCCTCTGTGTGTGTGCAAGGTTCTTTTAATGAAAAAGAAACCATGGGAGGGACAGGACACCTGATCCAAGGGCTTGCAGCAACCAGAGACAGTGGAAAGTGTCCCTGCCCAAGGCAAGGGGGTGGATGATCTTTAAGGTCTCTTCCAACCCTTTGGAGACCTTCAGCTCAGACTGGAATAAACCTTTCTGGAAGCTTATCCATCTGCATTTGAAGCAGTTTATATACATATAAATTATCCACAAATTCACGGGCAAATGTGTAACTACTTTCACCTAAGACAAAAATATTTCTTCTAAATATCAGAGTTTTGACACAAATACTTTTTAAATATCCAAACTTAAATTGACTGTAAGTTGAATGACATGTGCCTGAGGTACAAAAAAATTGTTGTCTTCAGTAAAAGGATGAAAATGGTTTAAGTTTTGGTGAAAAGTCTTTCAGTAAATGAATGGATGTACAGAAGAGAAAAACAGAATGACCAATCCTTCACCTCCTATCTCTGAAGACAGTGAAAGGTCTGGACAGTTCTCAAGTCTTAGAAAACAACCATTTAAAAGATTTATCTGAGCAGTGCTCCATAATTCCAAACTGGAGAGTGTTAAGGGGAAAGCTACAAAAACATATTAAGGGATTAGAGAGAAGGACCACAGAGCAAGATCTGCAGAGGTCAAAGCACTTAGTTTATCAAAGAGAGAGTGAAAGGGGCACTTTGATCACAGCTGGGGAAGCCAAAAAGGATAACAAAAACCTGCTGGAGCAAGTACTTCACCTAGGGAAGAACAGATATCAATTTCCAAGGGTTACAAGGGGAAAAGTGCCAGAATCACAGAGGAAAAAGGCAGCTGTTGAAATAAAGGTGTAAATAATTAATGACTGAAGAAAATTACCAAAGGTTCTCATGGCTGCTCCACTGCCAGAGGTCTTTAACATAGGGCTGAGAGTTTCTCAGTGAGAAATGTTCCAGTTCAGCTGGAGTTATTTGGCTTGAATTAGGTCAGAGGAATCCCACAGACTTCAGTGAACTGTTCACCTTAAAAGGTCCCAACTTTGATGGACCTTAACAGAAGAAACCCCAAATTTATATTAATTTTTTTCTCATATACCATTAGCAAGTACAAATAAACACTCCAGGTTGAGAATATTTCCACAAAAAAAAATGTTATGGCTGAGGCTGACAGTGCAAAGAGGCAGCAAATTTTCTTGCTGCTACTGCCACAGGAGTCGTATTCCTCCTTTTTGAACAAATTCAGGGAGAAGCACCTTGTGACAAATTTCTACCCCTCAAAAATCCATCTCTTCTCTTTGCAGGCCAGGGACCAGAACTCATCCAACCTAAGCAACAAAGATAATTACCATGTTCACAAACACACAGGTAGTCAAATTCTGCTCCTCTTCCACCACCTGCCTCCTTGTCTTCTCCACCTCCCCAAAGCACCTCTGCAGCACAAACCGCCTGGCTGGGATCTCTCTCACTTTGCTGAGCCTTTCTCCTGATGGTGGCTACACAATTGGCCACCCCCAGCTCCATCCAACCCAGATTGTACTGCCCTTAATTGATTCATTAAGGCAGTCACTGCTGTCAGCTCGTGTGCTCAGTACAAACAGCAGCAAATTATTCAAAAGATGGGGGTTTTTTTCCCTTCTGAGAAAATATATTAATCAAGAGCTGTTGACTATTTTGGGTTCTCATTGTCTGCACGGCATTTCTAAAATAAAAAGTGAGAACAAGCAACTTGTCATCAGTCAGTGACTTCTAAAATTTGTCAGTTAAACAACCAGTGGTGCTCCTGATTTATAGGAGAAAGGTTTTAGCCAAAAAGATGTTTCACCATGGGCAAATCTGTTTGATATCCAACAACTTGTCAGTTTTATAAACCTCTGCCAAAGGCTATTATTGATGGTAGAAGGTGAAACCAGCACAGAGAAACCAAAATTTTTGACATTTCACACCAGAAAAATCACACCAGCCATAAAAAAATTGCTATCTGAGAGTGAAAAATGCATAGATATTAATTTGACCTAAATTTAAAAGCAGCTTTTGCCCAAAAAAGGATTTCATACACCACATCTTACCAGGTAGGTACAAAATTAGCACAAAAAGTCATCATCTAGAATCATATGGAATATTGTGACTCTTCACAGGTCTGATATCAATATATATAAATAGATATAAATGTTTTTATGCTATACCCTGAATTTGGCATCCTCTACCTCTGTTGAGGCCTGGAGCCCACAGAGCAAAGCAGTGAAGTGGTGCCACAACACTTTAAACCAGAACAGCTGTGAATAATCCCCATTATATGAGCTCTGTGTTCCTAGCAGCTGATGAACCACCAGCCAAGTCTCCAGCTGTATGTCAGACTCTTTGTTTAAAGCCCCAAAAGAGATTCAGCCACTCCCAGAAAGGTCTAAAGTGACATCTTGAAAATTAGCAAATTCAAAGAGTCGTGTGAGTGACTGTTCCCCCTCAAGAGGAAACATTAATTCTTTGCAGAATTAAGTCAATGTATTATTTATTACTTCCTATGGTTCTATTTGTGTTTTCTCCAAGTGGCATTCAGGGCAGGGAATGCTCCTAAAAGCCCACCAAGACACCGCAATGTGTTGTTTTACACAGCTCCTCTCACACCACCCTTTGATTAATCATGACAAGTTACCTCACTACAAAAGGTGACAGCCTTTGGTTCCTCAGGAAGCACTGGAATACAAATTTCCAATTAATCTTGGCCTTGCAGGTGGCAGAAACAGCTGCAGAGAAAGCAGAATGTTGTATCACCTTGAGTAGATCCATGTGTAGGTCCTTGGGGCTCACCTGGATGTGTCAAGGAACAAGATGGTGGCAATGCCAAAGTCTCAGGCCATTCCATGCCTGGATGTCCCATGAAGGCTGTTCCTGCTGATCAGAAGAACTGTGTGAATGATAACAGGACAGAGAGGGCTTGTCTGCTCTGATAAGGAACAAGTTTTGACAGTGAGGGTGGTAAAACACTGGCACAGAGAAGCTGTGGCTGCCCCATCCTTGGAAGTATCCAAGGCCAGGTCAGACAAGGCTTGGAGCAACTTGGGATAGTGAAAGGTGTCGCTGCCCATGGCAGGGGCTGGAACAAGATAGGCTTTAAGGTCCCTTCCCACACAAACTAGGCTGTGATTCCATGATCCTGATCTGCTGTGGGGTTGGCAGAGGGCAGAGTGCCCATGGACACGGGGCAGGCTGGACACAGCCCATCCTGAATCACACAGAGTCACAGCATATGCTGAGTTGGAAGGGACCCACAAGGATCATCAAGTCCAACCCTTAGCCCTGCACAGGACCATCCCCAAGAGTCACACCATGTACCTGAAAGCATCATCCAAACACTCCTGGAGCTCTGGCAGCCTTGGTGCTGTGACCACTGCCCTGGGGAGCCTGTTCAGTGCCCAACCACCCTCTGGGGGAAGAACCTTTCCCTGAGATCCAACCTAAACCTCCCCTGACACAGCTCCAGGCCATTCCCTGGGGTCCTGTCCCTGGTCCCTACAGAGCAGAGCTCAGTGCCTGCCCCTCCTCTGCCCCTCCCGAGGAAGTTGTAACTGCAATGAGGTCTCCCCTCGGTCTCCTCCAGCTGGACACACCAAGTGCCCTCAGCTGCTCCTCACACAGCTCCACATGGGCAGAGCTGCCCTTCCTGCTTTAAATGATGGTGTGTTTCCATTTTCCCAATTTTGAGGCAATTTCCAGAGTTTCAGTGAGGGAGAGAAGAGTCAAGAGGGTGAGCAGAAAAGCTTTGCAGTAGAGAGGA